GAGAGTTGTTTAGAGTGAGTTATTTAGGACCAGGCCATAGTGTCATCAAACACTGCCTTTCAAAGAATGCCCTCATCTTCTCTTTTTTAAAGTTATTTTTTTCATTATTCTTTCATTCAGCACTTTTGTGAGGGAGGTCCCATTTCTATCAGCTACTGTTTTCACCAGAGTATAATTCAGGATGCCAGGGTTGCCCTGACTGCTTCTGTAATACCCTACACATGAAAGTCCTCTCCCAACTAATGGGACAGCAGCATTTTTTTGTAGCTTATACCAACTTCAGCCCTGAAGTTGACTAGTGGCTAGTCCACCGCTGTAGCTGCATGCTGACTCCGTTCCCCATTACTTGTTAGTGGCTTCTATTTGAACTTGTGCACAGTCTTGCCACCTCCTCCTTAGCTCGCTTGCTCCACTTCCAGGTAGGAAGCATGTTTCAGTTGTGAAGTTCACGGTCTCGAAGGCACTGCCTTCACCTTTCTAGCTGCAGGCTTGAGCAGAAAGGTAAGGTGCTGCCAAAGGAAGTCCACAAACCAGCAGGGCTCTTTGCAGGAGTTGGAATCCAGATCCCACTTGTCATAGGGAGATGATGGAGGCAGGGCAGCAGCCCCCCTGCAGTTTTTGGGGAGTGCTAGCTCCTTCAGAACACCCCATCAAATTTTTTTAGCATCCATTTTTTTAGCAGAGTGCTTCCCTTGTTCTTTTGCTGAATTAAACCACAACTTTACACACTCTGTACTGGCTTCTGTAGCAGGAGAGTGACTGACTTATCAAAAGCAGCTCGTTTTACCAGGAGCAAATTATGGGTGAAGCTAGTGTGGTAAAATGAAGGGCTGGTTTTGCTATGCCCAGGCATCCTGTTAGCAGTTAAACTGCAGACTTGGCTAGCAAAGCTGCAACAACAGTCTCTGGCTGCTCAGGCCTGCTGTACCAAAATTCACGCTAAGCCAGGTAACAGTTATCAGGTAAAGGGGAAATTGTCGAAGAACTACATGCACGTGAAGCGTACCAGGATGGCGACCTGCAGAGCCTGACACCAAGGGAGGCGAAATGTCTCCTGCTAATGGGTGATGCTTTTAATTCACCTTCGCCTCTTTCGTGTCAGCAGCAGAGAGGCTGTCATCTTTTTATCAGCCCTTTGGTGAAGAATCACCTTCTGCCACAGCAAGGCGCTCGGATTGCCACGGGGGCCGGCGGGTGGCACACGCAGCTCGGGCTGGCTGCCCTGCCCCTCCTGCCGAGGAGGCTGGCGGAGGTGGAGAGGCTGTTCCACAGCTAAAACTTCCCACGGTGGCCTTAGCAGCCTCGTGCCCCTGTGGGAGTGTAGAAGGTAGAGTGCCTGTGAGGCACTGCACCAGCGTTTTACGTTCCTGCTCTGGAACTCCCTGGTTGAGTTGTGCGTGTGTGCACGCACACGCATGCACGTACATGATTTTTCTCCAGGAGGGAACACCAGCTGAGGCTGTGACTCAGCCTAGGAAAGGTAGTTCAGCCAGAGGGCCTAACCTGCAGGAAACGTTGGAACATAAAGGCATCCAAACCACAATCTGCACAGGGCAACCCACCAAGAGTTTTAGCAATAATACTCCTTTAGTTCGTGGCAGTTAAGCTGTGCATAGACATGCACCATTCTTCGGACATTTAAATTGGTGTGTCCATGGAAGAGTCATGGCTCACAAAAAAAAAAAAAAAAAAAAAAAAACAAACCAAACAAAAAAACCCCCAAACCCTAACAGTTTCAGTGAAAACACATTTTCACCCTCAAGAAAAAAGTTAGTGGAAAATTTTCAGCTGCTCTTAATTGCATGCAGTTGTCTGTACAACTTGGCAACTTTTTCATTTGAATCACGTTCTGTTTGTTTCCTAAAAAGGACTGGATCATCGCTCCAAAGGGCTACGCAGCCAACTACTGTGATGGGGAGTGCTCATTCCCACTCAACGCCCATATGAACGCAACCAACCATGCCATTGTACAAACTCTGGTAAGTCTCCAGGAAGCTCGATGCCAGAGCAATAGGTGAATTTGTAAACGAGTTAGTTACCATTGTCTCAGCTGTGTTTTCTTTTTGGCAATAGGTTCATCTTATGAATCCTGATTACGTTCCCAAACCATGCTGTGCACCTACCAAACTAAATGCCATATCCGTTCTTTATTTTGATGATAATTCTAATGTAATCTTGAAGAAATACAGGAATATGGTAGTAAGAGCTTGTGGATGTCACTGACAAACAGTCTTCATGCGGACTCTGTGATTCTACCATGAACTTCCATACTACCTTCCGTGCTTTCATGAACTACCTGACCTTGGAGAAGACAAATAATTGATGGACCACCTTTCAGAACACCATGTACGTGCCTTGTGGGAGGAAGGGGTGTGGGGCCCACACGCTGGGGCAGGAGCAAACCGCTGGACTGGCGCAGAGCCTGAGCCTACGCCGCGGTGCCCGCTCAGCCCTGCAGAGCCGCGGCGTGCAAAGCAGCACCGTGCCCACACGTGCTTCATTGGGCTGGGACAGTCTCACACAGCAGCTTGGCCTTAGCAGTTGCTTGGATGTGTGCTGCAGTTTTACTGGAAGGGCACCCAACACCCAAAACAAGTGAGTTGTTTTTTGGGGAGGGGGGGAAGATGAGGGGAGAGGCAGGGAAGCAAGAGTGAAGAAAGTGGTGTTAGTACTTCAGACATAGAGCATACATCTTGTACAAGATAAAAAATTCCTAAGGTTAGGAAATTGCCTTTTGTCTAGAAGGACCAGTTACTACACCTAGACTGTCGTTTCCTCCTGAAATCTGTCATGACAGTAAGCATCTTAAATTGTGCCAAAGCAAATGTTTCCGTTCTGTTATGCTCCAAGCACAGTTTAAGTCTGATCCTGCAATCGTAAGATGGCTTGGCTGCACCCTGTGTTAGGAAGACTGGTGTGAACTCAGACCCTGGCTGGTCTTTCCAGTTCACTATTTGACTGAACGATACAACTTTATACACTTGTGCAACTTCCTTCCACTCCCCATGTGGAGCTGCCTCATCCACTACTGCTTGCCCAAGGAAGGAAGTTGGGACAGTCCTACAGCTGCAGTTCAGCCGTGAAAGTTTAGGGGCTGTTCAGTCTCTAGCAGGACAATTTATTTACAGGAAGACAGAATGTCAACAACGTATGCAAGTCTTTGGACAACCTTTCCCCTTCAACTCACGCAACTAGCAAACTGGTATAAAGGATACATTCACAGTGTAGCCACGCTTTGTCTAGCAGAAACTAATAGCAAATTTTTTGGATCGATATTAAACTTGTATTAAATGCACTTACCTCTAATTCTTGCATTTAAAAAAGCTTCTTGTAAATACAAGCTATAATTTATTGCACTTGTCACTGTATATTCATTGTGCTGTACCATTTATAGAAAGACTGCTTTTTAAAAAAGTTTTTATTTAGAAAAATCTCAGTGTAAACAATTGTACCACTTGATTTTATACAAGAAACTCATGAGATTGTGCTTCACTAGAAAGTTGTTAAAAACATGATAATAAAGGCTTCCTTTAAGGCAGAAGTATATACATTGATCTAATACAACTGCCAGTACAACACTTAGCTTTCACTGTGGCTTTTTCACCCTTACACATTTTTAGATTGAACAGAATCAAAAGTTCTGGACAGACAGTGAAGTGAAGTACCAGGAGAAAAATCACTGATTTAAAAGTTCATTTCTGTTTTGTCTTTTTTTGTTTGTTTTTGCTTTTGTTTTATTTTTTTTTTTTTTAAACCTACTCCATATGATGGACAAAAATCGGCATCTTGACAGATTAGTCAAATTAGCCTGTAGCCATCTTCAGTCCATGAGCTTCTGTGCACACGAGGTGGCAGGATTCGGCCCTTGGTTTGCTGTTGTCTTTGTATCGTGACAGTCTCTGCAGTGTAAATTCTTTGGCTTTCAATTCTATCTAACATGGAACATCTTGCACACCAAAGAATAGATCCATATTATAATCCAAGGCACCACAGAGTGCATGGTCCTAGCATGCAAACTTAGCAATGCTTACAGCTTGAATGAAGGTTAAGGCTGAAGAAGAGTGGAGAACTATTTTACCCTACTGTAAAACAGGTGAATGGGGAAAAAAAAAAAAAAAAGAAATTAAACATTGTACTACTACTTGTTCTCTAAGTAGTCTGAATAAGGAGCACGTTAGCACAAAGTCTGGATTCAGGTGAGGGTAGGAAACACACGTCATCAGCTCTGAAGTCTGACTGATCATTTAGTATTAACAGATCAGTTACACAGTGCCTGTTCACTTCGGCTCTGTGGCAGTTGAGCACAGTTCCTCCTCTGGAGCTGGACAGAAGGCGCCTACACACATCCACCCGACACATGGACACTATGGCATCAGTAATGTTCAGGCACAAGTTATGGTACCATCACTTTCATTATGGCTAGACCTCCCATGCTGAGAGGATTAACAGGAAACAACTGGCTCACGGTGGCCTGGTATCTTCCAAAGGTGTGTGTGTGCTTTCAACCTCCTGTGACTTTCCGCTTCTTAACCAGCAGCTATTTTAAGACAAACAGGGTTTAAGTACAGTTGTAGAGGCAAAAGGGACTCAACACAGCTGTAGCTTTTACCTTTCTAGTAATGGTGGGCAGTTTGTAAGGATTATTTTTTAACTAAATCTAACCTGAAGACAAAAATATTCTACTGGTACCCTTAAGTTGGTTTTCTTAATGTATTTTAGTCTCAAAGGAAACCATTTACACTTCATGGCGGGAATGCAGAAATAGTACCAATGCTGAAAATATTCTCCATTTGCACAGTAAGTACTTGTTACTTTTTCTTCACACACAGGGTAGCATGTCTTTAACACACACACACAGAGGGAAGATACCAATGTTTAGTACATTCAATTTCCTAAAAACAAACAAAAAAAATGCCCCAACACCCACCCCACCCACCCCCCCCATTTGAAAATTAGCAATGTTTGAAATCCCTCCGCTACTGTAGAAAGACAGCCAGGGCTGGAGCATCCAGACTTTTATTACAATTCATCCCTTGCCTGACGCAAGACAAAGCTATGCAGTGATTCAAGGTCTCTCGTTCCATTGTGTTCACTGACTTTCTTTCCACCTCGAAAAAGCAGAAGTGTAGGATAACCGCGTACCTTCAGAAGACACACACACAAAAGAAACTTGTTACTAATGTCCAGACTCACTGGTATCCTTCACTTGTATTTACCTGACTGACAAGACACCAAACCCCTCTAAAACAACAAGCCATTTTAAGTAAAAAACAAAACAACACAAAAAAACCCACAAAAAAAACCAACCAAACAAAAAAAACAATACAAGCCCCAAACACCACACCAGAACTTCCAATGCCAACCTGCAATTTCTGATAGTGAATAGGACAATACATGCTCCTCTAGGCTCCTGGAATGGCAGCTCCAGCTCTGTCTTTGGTTGTCTGCCTACCAGCATCAAAAGACTTTTTTTTTTTTTTCCCTAGGAACAGAACTTTGCATCGGCTACCACAAGACTGCTTTGGTGCTTTCACCGAGGGAAGCTTCTTAAATTAGGGGCTTCGTCAGCTTTACCCGATCATGAGAATGACCAAGTCTGAACAAGCAGTCCAGGAAAGAAATGGTGTCACCAGGTGCTGTTCTGAACGACCTCCTTTTTTTGGCTAAGGCAGAACACAGCTGCGCTGTCACCAGGCTCCCGCAGTGCAGCGGCGGCTCGGCTGCACGCTGGAGCCGCTAACGTTCGGTACACAATACTGCCCCGCTCCTTCCAGGTCTTTCACACTTACAGAAAATCTGTTGCAGACGTTACGTTCCACAGTGCAGTCCACTTCTGCTATTTTGACATCAGTCAAACCTGGAAATTGCTCTTTGGCAAGGTTCTCCCAAGTTGGAGCCAAGTTTTTACAGTGACCACACCTAGAAACAAGAGAGAGAGATTTGTTTAGCAGATACACCTTCCAGTTTATCTCTACTGTCTTGCTGCAATAGCTCTAAGTTTAACTAGCGGCTTTTCCTATCCCCTAATGATCTGGCCCTCCAACTCCCTTGCACTATTATGTCAGTAAATGAGCTAAGAAAATGAGTGATTTTTATGTGAGTAAGTTAGTTAAGCACTGAAGTAGTTTCTGGCCTTCATTAGTCTTGTCTGGAATGGTCTTCTGGATGTCAGTGCATTAACATTCTACCCTACAGAGGAATACGAAGCCAAATAAAGATGAGCACATAGAATATTTAAATGAAAAAAAACCAAATCAAAACAAAACATAATGTTTGTTTCTAAGCGATCTTTAGGTAAGGGCACAGAATATCTGTATAACAAATTAAGTTTTCAGGTAGCATATGCCCGTTATGCTAAAGCTGCATAGCCCAAGTTTAATTATTTAAATGAGATTTTAATTTCCCTATTAAGTTTCTCCCAGTTCCTAATGGCCTCCCTGACCAATGTAGCATTGCCCAATGCTGGAAACTCAATTTTAGTAGAGGCATTTGTCAACACAGATCCTGTTTTTAGGAAACACTCCGGTAGTTTGATGCACATTTTCACTGAAGGTACTCTGAAGTTTAACCACTACCACTGTACTGTCAGGTAGATCCACAATGGAATTGTTTAATAGTCGATAAGCTTCACTTAGCAGACAGGCAAAAAAAATAAAATCAGGCCTTCCTCTGATTTGCATTAAGCAGAGACTCATTCCAGTTATATCACCAATAACACCAAAAAGCCTATTTCTATTTTATTCCCTTATGTCTCTACAGTAATGTGAGACTGCAGTCCACAGAGTACACACAATGAAACACTAGTGTCAAGGGAGAAAATGATACTGTAAAATGGCAGGATCTATAGTGAAGTATTAATTTTGTTTGTATTTTGAACTTCTTACTGCCTTCAGGAAGAATTCCCAAAGCACTTTAGACTTTAAAGCTGCAGTGCTCATTCTATTCTAACCCAGCTGCACCTTAATTGGGTTATTAAAACAGCCCCGAAATTGCCTCGAGGCTGGATCAGGGCATTTACAAAAATAATGAAAGATGCCTCAGCAAAAGTTTCCTTAATGCAAGCCAGTGTATATTTAAACCACCTTGTTAATACAGTGACAGTATAAAAGCATTTCTGACTGAGCACAAAAACTACTAGAACAGGATGATTTTATGCTTACTATGCAAGTTAACATCAATATTTATCCAAAACTAACCAAAAGATAGAACTAGCAAGCAACATAATAGTGTTTGCTGAGCCCCACATAAGTTAATCCACTTGGAAGAGAAACAGGTCATTTATATGCAGAGCACTACAACTGTATACATAAGCCTGACTTTCAGAGCTAAAACTAGGATACCAGCTACATAAATATAGGAAGTATTTCCCTCAACGGTAGCTTTCTGAATACTGCAGCCAGGGAGCACACACTGGTTGAAGAACTTGTCTCTCTGCCTCCTGAACCACCGGTCCTCAGCCTGCCATCCAACACTGATCACACCTCTGAGATCCAGCAGCACCCCACTAGAATCTCACGGGATGAGGAGATGGTTAAAGTGCAGTATTATTACGAAAAGTTAATTAGAAAGGGAACATTGCTTTATCTCAAACTTTTCCTGAAAATGTTTCTCAGATAATGATCTCCTGCATATGCCAGCAAGCCCTGGGTTCAGAAATCAGTCCAGAAGCTGGTTGGTGTGCAGGTGTACCCTGAATTTCCCAGCCAGTTCTGCTGGTGGAGTAGCAGCAGCGCAGGCACAGATTCAATCTCAGTCCCTCGCAGTACACAGAGAGGAGGAAGGGAGCGAAGGGGTGGGGGTGGAGGGGGGAGGTGGTGTATGGGCAGGGTGTTTCTTAACACAGTGGTGGCAGATACTTGTCCGCATCTGAAAGCAGATCTTTCAGACATCAGAGAGCACAGACGTGGCTCTCAAGCAGCAAACCACACTGCAGTAAGAAGGGTGACAACACTGGAAAAGCCTGCACCATTGAGATTACATAAAACGAAACTTTCCCTGGTACTTCTTGCCTGCAGCAAGAAACATATTCATGCCTAGTGTCAAAGTTAAGCTGCAAATAAGCTGTATTTTGATACTCCTGAGCACATTTAAATATGGATTGCATTTGTTTGTGTTGCTTTGTAATGGTGATCTTTTAACACCCCAAACAAAAGTTCTTCTACTATTTCATATACTGTCTTAATGGGCTGGCTAAGTGATGATGGGTTATCTTTCCCACAGTGAGATACAGCTTAATTTTAATCTCTTCCCCTTCACTAGGCTTCCTTCTGTTGGCTAGGAAGCTGGGCAGTGGATGACAAAGATAGCATGCAAGTTTCAATCCAGGCACAACTAAGATGAAGTCTATAATACAGAGAGAGAAACGTAGACCTTTCTATCTCAGAAAGGGAAGAGTAAAAACAGGGGGAAAATACTTGTTCTATGAGTTTGTAATACTGAAGTCTTACCCCATCTTGGGTCCCAGCTCTGCTGGATATGTCATTAATGGCAGATGCCAGGTAGGACATTACTTCTCCCCCTACCCTCAGTGCTCTCCGTTGGGTGTCCACACCTACACCATCAGCACTGGACACTTCTACCCTGGGTCACTGTAAGAACATATTACATGGAATATGCTCTTAAGAACGTCTCAAAATTGTCACTTGTGCAAATTAGGCTTTTGGCAGTTATTTGGAGAGTAACAGCCAGTTACCCACAGCCCTACAGCCTGTAGCAGTTCCCAGGTGCTCAAATGAGGCTTCCAAGAGAGGCTGGTTGTGGCAGGAGAGGGCGCAGAGGCCAGCATGCTCTCCATTCTCAGCACCGGTGATACGCTCCCCTCACCTTACCTTAATCAAGGGATCAAAGCATGCCAAGCCTGCAAAGAAAGCTTCACTCTCCTCGTTCCCCAGAATCACCTAGAGGCTGTCACAGAGAAGCTTTATTCTCCGTCAGCCTTTCCACAGAGAGGCATCCCAAGCGAGCTAAAACAGATTGAGCTGCTTTGCTGTAACTCGCCAACACACACATTCTTCAGTTAATTCACATTTTAGATCCAGACAACAACTACAGTACTACACACAACTCAAAGACCTACAGCAACTAGTGCACTGACAGCTTAGACAAGCAATACTCCTGAACAACAATAGGTGCAAACTTCTTACCACGGAGCATAGAATTTAATAAAGGTGATCCCCGTAGCAATGGTTGTATCAAAGTCTTTTTCAGAGAGGGAGAGCACTGCAGCCTGTTTAAAAAAAAAAAAAAAAAAAAAGTCACAACTTTTTGTATACGTAACATCAGCCAAATGAGCTTCTAGCTACCTGAAAGGGAAACTCAAACTGGAAAAGACAATATTATTGATAGTATAAACAAGAGCAGCAACAGCACACCTCGCTTTACCCCTCAGCTACTTTCCTCCCCTAGAGAGATGTACAGAAATGTGTATTTCATGCTGAATCTCATCCATAATTGGAGAAACAAAACATCCCTATTTTCAGGGGATTTTCCTGTATCCAAATTTTCAGTTGTTGGAAAAAAAAAAAAAAAAATCGCCTTCATTTTAATACACTGTCATGCAAATGTTTCTTGAAACAGCTCTGAAAGGAGTTGTCTTAAAGCACGTAATGGCCATCTGAGAGTTTAATGAGGTATTCAAGGCGTACTAGTGATGTCTTGACAGCTGTTCTCCCTGTGCTGTATCCCCGCGTTGCATACACAGAAAAAACTGTTACCAGAAACACGTATTTGCCTGTCAAGAGGACATCACCACACCACGCTTGTATGGATGCCAGGAAGAATTTTTACTCCTGATAACATCAGGAGCAATGGCATGGGAGTGATGGGAGGATAGCACATTGCTTACAGCCAGCCTCATAGGAGAGCACAGAACCATAACAAACGTCATTTTTTGTGCAAGACCCTTGAGGGTGGGAGGGATTAAAAATAAATAAATCAATCTCATGCCTATAAAAGCTTCAAATTAAAATGAAAGCAAAAGAAAAACAAGAGTGCAACTGACAGTATTACCAATTCTACTTTAAACTCAGTAAGTGTTTTATGAAGAGAAGCCAAAGAGAAACTCAAAATTACAAACTACCCAGTACCTTTAAACATTTATGTAAATAACTGCTAGTTCATGAAATTAAGTTACTTTATTAGCTGAAGTGTTATTAATGCTAAAAAATGATTTAGAAATGAGAAATTATACTAATTATTAAATAATTACCTATAATTCAATGAAGAAAAAAATGAGCAGTATAAATGTATTCTTCTATTCTGAATTTCCTAAATGGTTATCTAAAACAGATGTTCGAAACATCATTTACCATCGAAGACACCAAATCTGAAAACCTCATAAATAACATCTTCCCCACAATCCACACAGTAAAACAGATTCTAAAGATCTGTAGATTACTATCAGAATAGCAACGTGAACTATATAACCACAAAAATAAGTTTAATATCAGAGATATTAAATTTTAGCTTGATTTCTTAAGAAAAAACATCTTCTGCAACCACATAATCTGCGTGTCTGCTGGTCACTCCACCTTAATCCATCTGGATCGGTTTTGAGTAATTTAAGCAATGTCTGGCAGAAAAGAACTTTCATGGACATAAAAGCACAGCCTCCATGAAAGGACTGGCAAGTACTTGGCCTGTGTAAGACATGGGGGAATCCACGTAGGGCTAAACACTGGGACACAAATTTGGAGTTAGAACTCATTGCTTTTGCTGCCTGTGGTACCAGCTGTGCGCTGCTGATAGTAAATGCAGTCAGTGTTTGCTGGCTACATGGGCTAGTCCCTTGTTTCAAAATTCATGAAAACAAAACCAGAACCAAGGTGTCTGTAGGTGAGTGAGCAAGAAATGGTGGCATCCAAAGCTGCAATGTAAAGTTGTAAAGACAAGTTGAGTCCTACACTGTGTCTACTATTATTTGGCAAAAAAATCCCCCCACAATCCTTTCCCGTTTGTATGTGTGCTGGTACAGGCAAGGCATAAGCGGGGATTTGCATCACATGTGGTTTGTGTTACTTCCATAAAAATAGAAAGACAACTAATTACTTTCTGCATTGTACTAACACCAGCTTGTTAGGATCTTCCAAATATGAGGTCAATTAAAAAAAAAAATAAAATTTGAGGGGTATAAACATTGAAAATCTATGTTGTCTGTAATGTTTTAGTAAGCCACTTTATGCAAGATGAGTAATGCTGCTGGAAAAGTCAACCGGGAAAGGTAATACTCTCCTGTGAGAAGCTGCATATGAACTGTATTTATATTAATAATATTGATGCTTTTAAATTACATAAGTTCATTCTACATCACAAAGGAGTGTAGATCATTGTTCCTTATTTTCTAGGCAGAAGTATGTTTTCCACATTTCATGAAAAATTATGCTTGAAAAGCATCCCTAATTTCTCAATTTTACATTCAGCTACAAGAAAAATGGCAGATGAAATGCCAAAGTGATTAAAAAAGACAGGAAACTAAAATGACACGAAGTACAACTATGCAACGATGATAAAGTTATTCCTACCAATTCCTGGGCAACATTCATAACCCCTGTAGCTCCTACAACCAGGATTAGCATAACTCGCCAAACCTGAGGAGTTTCCCTGCTGCCCTGCCACATTTTGATCAGCCTTCATAGTCTTTGCTTGTCTGTTGTTTCTGCAGATAGTCTGTAAGTATAGGGCCTTAGCAGTGTGTGCCATCCTCCAGGGTTCAAGTGAGAATCTTGAAGGAAACAATTATCTCCATAGCAATGAAATATCCCATCATAGAAGCTGAGGTGCCAACAGTTCCACAGATTAAAAAAGACCACATTTATGCCATTCTCTCTAAACAACTTACTGCAACCACAAAGAAGGAGCCAGGTTTTTTTTTTTTTCTTTCCCTTCTCCAATTCATCAGGCTAGTGAAAGTATCACTAGGCTTTACGGTCTGATTCCACTCATTACTGAAAAAATAACCAGGAAAACAGTTGGTACAGTTTACATCTAGAAATTGTCGAGCTATCAGAAAGAGAGAAACATGTGGAAGACAGACAGGCTACTGAAACATCCTTTTAGCATCGCTGCAGAGTGCAGGAGCACTCACCTCAACACGAGTGGGTTCTGCGGGTGGCTGCGGGGCTTCGGCGGGTTTATCTGCTTGTGGTTCTTTCCCAGAGTTCTGTAGTTGGGAATCCACATACTCCTTTAAGGAATCGAAGTCCCTCTTCCCTTTGTACTGGTCACCCTACAATTATCAAACAGTTTGCTTGCAAATAAATAATTACCAGAAGAACGTAAGATTGCCAAGTGTAAGCACATTCATAACAAATATGATTATCTAGTCATTAAACATCTCCATGGCATTCCATTCACTCCATGTCTTCAGGATTTGCCATAGATTCTTCTGTACCAAAAGGGAACAATTTAAATTTTCCTTGAAATGAAAAGGATTTTAGAAACATAGAGGCAAATTTTACAAACTCTTCCACTTTGACCTTTATCTTGCACTCTAGTCAGCTTTTTCAAGGTTTCATTTTTTTAAGCTGAAGCAAGGAACAGCAAAACACCCATCGCTGTTTGGTGGTGGTCTGTGTTTCCGTGAGAGCTCTGTCCAGTGCTTGGACAGGACTGAAAGACTTGACTTGCATGTCGCCTGACTACACAGTCACTCCTCTGGCCCACACGCTCGTCACACATCCTCGGAAAACCCACACAGCAAGGCAATGCTCCCTGGGTGCCCGAGTTCACCTCGGAGCAAGAGACAACAGCCGCCTGCTGCGGGGCAGACATTTACAACGGCACTGCTCTCACAAAAGTTAAGTCACATTTCTGAACCTGCGCACAAAGCCCTCAACCAGTGAGGTCTTCGAGAAGCCACAGTTTGCTTTAGATGCTTCCCCATATCTCAGGTACTTTCACAACTCCAGAGAACAAGAAATCAGAGCAGCTTGTGCAGTTTCTACTCTCAAATCCACTGTTGGCCATCTCCAAACTGGCTCTTGCGTGATTGGCCCCAGCACTCTCTGCAAAAATCAGTGCTAATTTCTCTGTTCAGAAGAGAGGTATCTCATCCAGACATGATATCCATTTTGGATAGAATTCTTGAGTTTTGGTCCCACGAGAGATGGACTACAAAATGTATCTCCACTCACCGATGAGGAATACTGCTCAGGAAATAGCATACAACCTTCCATACGCTGGAAGGAAGAGCAGACACCTCTTCAACTCTTTCCTATATCTTTGGAACTCTTTCTACACATTTTCCTTCTTTTGTCATGGATAATGTTATTCATATATAGCCACCTTCCCCATGCTGGGTCTAAACTACAAAGGAATTAATCTAAGATGATGCAAGAAGCCTGTACCTGCTTGTTTGTACCCATTTCAGCAGGGTAGGGTCAGTGCCCACTCATTCCTCCCAGGGTTTCTGCTGCATTTAATCAAGAGGGATGGTGTGATGCCAGACTTCAGTTATGACAAAGGCAATGATGCTATTACGGACAACAAGGCTGGATGGCTGCAGCAGTTCTCCTCCTCCTCCCCCCATTACTGAACAGTACAATAACAACCAGAGAGATTTCCAGGAATTTCTGGGTCAGATTATTGGAAAGTTGTTGAGGTTGTTTTGTGGTTTTTTTTGAAAACGTATTGTATCAATCAGCCCACGAAGGAACATGCGATTCTGGTGGCAGTATGCCACCAGGGAATACCACAATGCCAATGGAGAAAAGCTATTCTGATGTCAACAGAAATACATTGTTCAGACTAATGGCTCAGATTCAGCTTTACCAAATACAACAGCAGTGATCTGACTTTCTTTCACTACACTCTTGATTTGAGTAACTCTGAGCGACTCAAACTTCAATAATTATAAAGGGTCAAAAAAAATTATTCTGTCTTGTCAAGAAAATACACAGCTAACTTCTCTAGATCAAGATAGTATGGTTCTGGCAAGGTATCCTGCCATCTGTAGCTATCTGGAAAATAAAAATCAAGCAGGTGGAGAACCATTCTGGAGAAACAGGAGAACACTACCCATTCTTCAAACTCATGTCATATAGAGACAGAAGTTTAACTGAAAAGACCTCTAACTTTGGACATACCACTATGTTTGACTTGAGCACTCCTTCAGCTTCCATCTCTGCTTCTGAGAGGTGCCAGGCACCACTGCTCGAGCGGTAACAAGGCCATGTATTTCCTGTGTCAATCAGGCTGGGATTCAAAAATCCAGGTGCTGCTTTGTTTACACTCCCTGGAGTGTCTGATCTAAGGGTGATTATACCAAACCTCACACGCACCGGTATGTACTTATGGCCACTTTCTCTTTAGAGTGACAGAAAACTGCCACAAGTGACAGCCACTAAACTGGACTGAGTAGCAAAACTTGTATCTCTGTTCAAAAGGAATGCAAGATGAATGGGGCCAAAACCCAAACCCCCCCAAAACTTAGTAAGAGCTGAAAGATAAGTCCTGGGTTCTCTGCTTGCAGACCTACTTTTAATATTCATTTTATACATTTAATTTGTCTTGAAAGTGTGAAATATGGTAAGTAACACTACTATTTAAAATATGTTTATTTGATGCTAGTGATGTACGCAGTATTTATAAATATTTTACTTCCCCATAACTGCATAATATTGTAATTCTTTTAATTGCTACAAGGAAAAATGTCAGCTGGGTCCCCAGGACTCTCACTCACAGTGTCTTATGAAGTGTTCAGATTTACAAGAAGGAAAATTTGCATCACTCAGACACCACTCAGCAAATAGGGATCACTTGCAGATGAGAACCTTCTGATACACACTGTGAAAATTACGTACTTTATTATTTCTATTTCATCTATGTTTTTGTGTTCCATAGGAGGTAAGGTATTAATTAAACACAAAATTCTCTCATACAGCAGCATAACTGGAGATACCGCTTACAGATTTATGAACATCATACCAGTTATTTGCAGAGCACAAAGAGTAAAAAAGTCTAACTTTTGTCCGTGGATGAAGTATACCTCTTCCAGTACCCAACTGAACCTCCAACATCTTTTCTCTCTCAAGCAGACTTTTGTATATGCCCATCTGATCTTTTTTACCCAGGATGCAAGGTAGTCCAAGTAATATTCAGAAAAAAATAGTCTGATCCTTTGCTGAGTTTGCAGACTCACCTTTTCACCATTCCTAAACCAGAGGAGTGTAGGATAGCCACGAACTTGGGTTTCAGAGCAGACTTCATAATGCTGGGTACAGTCAACCTACATTTTGAAAAAAAAAAAAAAATTATTAACTATTCAGTGCATAAAATAAACATACAACAAGCATCACAGCCTCCCTTATGTGTAAAATCTCAGAAAAATACAGGAACAAGCAATACACAGCATGGCAAAACTCAGAACTAACTACTGTCTCGAGAATGATTATGTCTGCCTTCCAAACAGTGGCTTGGTTGTACAACTGGGAGGCTGTATGTTTGATATTTTTTTTTTTTTTAGGAGGGATTGGGGAAGGCGGTACAGATAGAAGGAAGGAGTAACAGCTACAAAGAACAATAAAGACATAATTAAATATTCCAATTAAAAAGTACTTGGTATTCTCAGTGAATAAAATCACTGCATGGACAGTAAGACACAAAAAGCTCATGTGAGAGCTTTAATGTGAAGATAGATTGGCTCATCCATTATTTAACAGACTACTCTTTAAAGACTTCGGAATACATGTCAACAGCTAGCAAGTTAACTTTACTGCAAAGGAAGTTCCAAGTGCATAACAATGTTCAACTGTAATATGTCATAAACCAATCTGTAAAGTTATCAGTTTATAATCTTTTTTGAAGCAGAAAAAAAAAGATAACTTAAGTATCGGAGCCTTTGCTCGACACAGCACTTGGATTTTGAATTTCACATTAGAAACACTTTGCTCCAGACCACCGAAGATAAATTCTAAAGATTAAACAGCATCCTGCCAGTAGGTACCATTGCTGTTAAAACACTATTCCCCCAGATTACATGAGGGTCATGGTTCAACCTTCTTAGAAGCAGTTGTGTTTCCTCTTTACTTAGATTTAGAATCTTGACCAAGACATGTTTCAAATAGTTTCACAAGGTATACAGTTACACAAAATTGACTAGGCCTCGTGACAAATCTTAGTGGCTTTATTAAATAGAAACTATCAGTAATAGTAACCGCGAACAAGATAGATGACTGAATGAAATAGAAATTTTGGAAATTTTTTGTTTATTTTTCTCTGGGTATCAGAGAATAACAACCTCAAGAAGATACTTAAGCTAAGCAAAAATTTTATCAGACAGCAAGCAGGGTTCTCAAAAAGTAAATCAGCAGATGCAACATTTGGTACAGACAGTATCAAAGGAGCAATAGCCTTTGATATTTTATTCTCAGAGGGAATATAATTTTATATCCACCAGGTCTCAAAATTATATATATATATGTGTGTGTCTTCTCCAAATTCAACTGACCTGCTCTGTACATCTACAGCATACCTGAATTAGCAGATTTTCAAACACATTACAAATAATTAAAAAAAAAAAAATAAAGAAGCCAAGCTCATGACCCCTAGAAACAGCTGAAAGTGCTATGAGGGCAAAGGCAGGGGTGATATCTGGGATTTTGTCCCTCTGCCGGACTGACAACACTGCTAACAGTTATGCAGTCCTTCAGATCAGTGGAACCACTCTGAAAGTTTAAGGACATGGAAGTTGAGCCCAGCTAGTTTTCCACCACTGGCAAATACAGAGGAACTCACATCATGAGCCACCTGGACTTAGGCATGGGTCAGCAAATAACGCCAGTAACTGCAATTGCCAGACCACTTCCATACCTCTGCACAGAAGTCACTCCACATACAAGTAACAAGCTCCCATGGTAAATACACCACAGAACCTGGTTATCAACCCTAAGGGAAATAGTAAAGCAGGACAAGGTATCAGTTTTTAAGGTGGAAGACCCTTGAATCCTTCAGAAAGTTCTATGGGGTAAAGAGGAAAAAGAAAACCATCCAAGAAATAATCCATAAGGATCCCTGTAGGTCTAAAGTTTACGAAGGGATCCAATGCTGTAAAGGGTAAATTATAAGTTACTTTCCCACTCAAAATAAGTACTTAAGTCTATCAAGTTCTGACAAAGGGGAAGCATAATAAAAAACAAATCTCAAAATATTATTCCCTGCATCTGAATTATTAGACTTATTCCCAGCTCCCTCTGAAACACAGGGAGCTAGCTGCATCTTTAACAAGTCTTTGCTTAAAATGAGGGAGTCCTGTCAACTGTGGATGTGTGAGAAAAAAAAACAGCCATTCCAAAATTAACATAGAAACTATAAAAGGATTTAAGAGGTGACAAACAAAATAATTGTTATTTGCAAATCACAGCACAAAAAGCATGATACTTGGCTGAAACATTCATTCACACAAAACACATTTTCAACCTAGGAGCACTTCACCTACCTTGCCAATCTTGACAGTTTCTGAATGCTCAAAGGCTTGAGCCAGCTGTTCCCAGGTTGGGGCCAAAGCCTTGCAATGACCACACCAAGGGGCAAAGAATTTGATAAAGTGATTACCTTTTAAAGAAAGAAAAAGAATATTTAACTCATTTGGAATTAATTTGGCTGCAATTAAAGACTAGGTACTAACCTCAGACTGCATGAGTCTTGGTATCATGGTATTTCCTGAGTTAAAGATAGGAAACACTGTGAATGAAATGCCAGGACAGAATACTTCAGCAATTAGGTTTTCAATACTGGATGCAATCTCACAGCATTGCCAATTTCCCTGAAATTCCAAACAGTGTTACAACCTCAAGCCAACAAATGAGACATTAAAACCGGTATTTTTAACCTAGCCATTTGCTACCATGTCTAATTCTACCATCACCTGCCCTGTTAGAGAACAGAAAGAACCACCAAGGAACAAGTATTTGTAACAGCTTAAATGAAAGGAAGTATTAGACTTCAACTTAAACATTTTTCAGGAAACACCACTGCATTAAGTCCATGAACTACCCAAATAATTTTGTTCAGCCTTCCATTCTCCTTTTTCTGCCCTGCTCTTTGTATTTTCATGTCAACTTCTCAGAAATCGCTGCCTTTAGTATATTTGCAGTGTTCTGCTGAGAGCGGAGTCTCTGTACTATCTCCTACTAACGTTTAGTTTAACAGTATAATATTAATTGAAGAGTACCAGAGTATCTAATTTCCTTCATTTAAATTACTATTCATTCAAGACACTGCATGCTTTTGCACACATCAAGGCAAGGCTCTGTTAATACAAAATAAAAATGATCTTATTTAAAATGAGGAAAAAATATCAAATTAATGTGAAGGAAGTGCCAACAACTGGAAAAAACCTCCTTGTAACAAAATTATTCATAATCATTTGAAGATAGTTTTGGGACTGATATTACTAGAATTCATTTCATGTAGTTTGACGGCTTGTTCACAAAAGGAGGTCAGAGGAAAGACGTGACAAAATAACTAGGAAATGTAAACTGCAGTAGCAGTGTACTCTAACTCCACGTGCCTGGTCTGCACACGGAAGCCTTTCAAACTGAGCGACATGCTTTGCTTTGGTCAAGTAAACTGCAAACTGAAATTTCTCATGAATGAGTAAGAACATCTACTCAAAATCAGCTATTCTTTACAACGTACTCTGATATGCTCTCCTCCCTGATAGAAAAAAAAAAAATAAATTCTTTTTGCCCTAGAGGACCAAAAAGGTAAAAGGAGACTTTTTAAGAACAAAAGCCAACCTTCCAGCTGGAACTGCTACGCTTCCTGCTGAATTTAAGCACCGAACTTCCTGTAACTGAAGTCAAGAGAGGACAGCAGCTTTACAGACGATCATAAACCTGCTCAACCATCGGCTATCACCATGAGAACGTCTCCTCTATGAATGTCAATGGATACATAATAAAAATATTACAATAAAAATATTAAAACTTTTACGCATACACTAAACTTAACTATCTTCTTAATGGCTTAGAGAATAATCCATGAAGAATTCTGATGTAATTCTGTGTTAAACTACACAGGCTGGGAAATTTTAAGTTAGCTGCACAAAATGCTCTTTTACACTTGAAAAGATTTCTTATCAGTTAATGGTTACTTTAAGAAGCTCTAGTATCTACCTCACTGCTGGTATCACATGGGCATAAACAGTTAATTTAATCCAGCCTTTGTTTTTAGTAAAGCAGATAGAGATGGTAGGATCATCTGCTGTTAAGGCAGCCCAAAGTTTGTATTGTAAGATTTTGCTCATTCTCTAAAAAACCCACCATGTCAGGGGTGAAATGTCCCCTGTTAGGTATCACTCCTGGCATTAATTTTGAAACTTCCAGAAAAAATATTTTTAAAAATGGCCAAACAGGTGAAGTGTTTTGCCCATATTAAATTCTGGAGGAAGGAAGCGAAGCAGCATCAAGTAAGGGGCCAGACTGGAATGGGATAGGGGCAGTAAGGAGGAAGTGGGTGGATTGTATTTATCCCGGACAGCAGCCTGGGAGTAAGAACAAGCCAGCACCTAGGGAAAGAGGAAACAGGATTTGAAAAAACACAAAGTGAGTGGCTAGGCTGTGACTAAGCAAGGAACTCCAGGAAAGAGACAGTTTAATCAAGCAAGCCCCACTAACTTCTCTGTGATTACGGGGCCTTAGTTTTACTGTCTTCTGAGCAGAGTGCCGTTCTTAAACTTTCTCATGGTGTGCAATACATAATTAAACTACCTAATTGTTTTTACACAGTCTGTAGTTTCATCTTCTTTCAATAGGTATTACTGGAAAATAAAAGCGGGAAGAAGGTATTCTGAAAACTAACATTTCAGTTGCAGACTTCCCACTACTGATGCCTCTGTAAGCAAGTATCTCTTGCTTATGAAAAAAACAGTTACCTTCTGCTATGTGCATCTTAAAATTGTCTGCTGAGAGTTCATACATTCCCTGTTTAGGTTCAGGAGCTTTTGGTGGTTCCACAGCAGTTTCTGGATCCTATTCATGAGAAAAATTAACTTTTATTTGTCTTGTACAGTAAAGACACAATATTTGATTCCTGTATCACACCATTCAGTGGTGGTGTTGTAAAAACCCTGTACTCTGAAATTCTAAATTCCTAAAGCCATGTCTTTATTTAGCTTGATTCAGGTATCTAATGTTTCCCAACAAACAACTACTTGAAAGCAAAATGTGAAAAAGACTGACACACAGAAAAGGGCTATCCGAGTAATGGGAATAAGAGAGTCTTTCACCGTGCTGTACTATAGTCACAGAGCACAGGAATTGCTACGGCATTTATCACATCACCATATATTAATACATTTGGGTTACATAACAGTTCCTCCATAGCATCACGCATCAGCCACATCTGCCATTGCACCAGTTTCAGTGGTCTTTGGGCTACTGAAAAAGCTATTTTCTGCTTCCCTAATTCATGAAAGAGGGACCTAATGGCTCCATGAAGGCAGTAACAGTGGGAGAAGAGCAAACACTTTATAGGTATAACCTGCAGCAAACCCACTGGCACTTCAGCAAAAGCAAGGAGCTACTGTCTAGATAGTAGGGTCAGAGCTGGAAAGAATTTTTTAAGAACCTCAAAGTACATTTCTTAATATAGTTTAGCAATTAATGTTTGATTATTAAAAATGCCATGTTTGTTTAAATATAATCATGTTCTAACCGTGATTCAGCAATCACAAAAGGCTTATCTTGATTAGAAGCAGCAATCACAAATTTCATTTTGGGCAAGGCTTCGCTACTATATGTGCATGCTACAGCTAAACTCAAGGGTTTCCTAGTGACGGCATCAGCTTAACTTACCTAATTATTTTAAACCCTTTCTTTAGGCTACAACACTATCAGATAATAACTGAGCTGAAGATGGCATCCATGTTTTAAGAGGTAATTAAACCGAACACAAACGCAAAACACCAAAGTGCTTTTCTTATTCTAGAAACATTATGGCCTACAGGTATCAACTGAATTGGTACTAAGAACTCTATCTTAAAATGTCAATATGCTAAACATTAAAATATGCATTATGTACTGTAGTTTTAAATACAAGAAACAAAAGGCAGGTCACTGGATGACAGTTTTAATTACCTTTCTGACTTACGAGGAAGTTGTTCCATACTGTTATTGCCACCTGACTTTTACTCTCAGGAGCACATTTCCTCCTGGAAATTGAAACCTAACCTATAGAAATTATAGATAAGCAAGTCTGCAGAAGGGAATATTTATTATTCTTATTTCCTTTTCACTTACAGATGGTTCCTCATTCAGTTTCTCCAACATCCAGTTTTCCAGTGCCTGGAAGTCCCTAGGGCCTTGGTATTTCAGAGGTTCTTGTCCTGGTTTAAGCAGCTTTAGGCTAAAGGATGAAAATGTAGAAAAGAGTTAGCCAAAATTTTCACCCAGGAAAATTCTCGGAAAGCTAATGTGCTTTGCCAATCCACAGCAGTGCAGCTCAGGCTGCATCAACAGCATTCTTGACTATTAACATCAGCATCAAGCATCTCCCTCAAAGGGTCATGGCTAGAACTCAGGACACTTTTTCATTCCCATGTAAGATTTTAAAGGAGATTTTTAAAATAGCAAGAAAAAATACCATGTTAAAAGTCAACATAGCCTAATACTACTTTGATCAATAACCAAGCGCAACTAAGACAGTGTTCAGTTTTAAGGTTAATCACTCACTATGCCTGTGAATCCTACAGTTTGTCAAAAAGCATCAATTTTGTTTTCCTTGACCCTCTCCATCGCCAAAGGAAAAATATCCAATGCTTATTTTCCCAGGAATTTCTTTCTCGTATTTCGTTCCCTGACTGCTCTTGGAACACGGGACTTTTCGTGTGGCATTAAACTGACTAAAAACACGCTGAAACAAGTCAACAGGACAAGGAGGTAAGTGATCGTTTGTAGGGATTCAGGACTTCATGATTATAACATTTAATAACTGCTATCAAAACTTTTCCATAAACTACCTAGTTTCTACTATTAAATATTCAAGTTAAAATTGGAAATATATTTGGTAAAGAGGCAATATCAACTTCTGACCTAGTCTTATCTTTTAAAGCGAACCATAGTTACAATTACTACTGTCACCTAGCCCTCAGTTCCCCTTGCCAAGCTGTCATTTTGTACTGCTTTTTCTTCTTCTTTAAATGTTTTTCTCTCTCTCCTTGTTCCACAGTTAGAAAAAATGAACATATGAAAGTGTTGGAAAACCACATAACGCAAATATTTTCAAAAGAGATAGGAGCTCCCACTGTCTTTTCTATTTAAGGTATTCTTGAATGTTCTTTGTGATAGTAGAAAGTAAAAATTTTTCTGAGTGAAAAAAAAATAAGCAGCTTTGTAATAAGAAGGAAACAACAACAATGAAACAGAACATCTAAAATGCACTTCATGGCAAAACTTTTGAAGAGTAACAAGTTCAAAAAAAAAAAAAAACGTATCAGCTTAAAGAGCCATCTGCAACTTTATTTTCTTCAAATGAGGGTAAGTTTTATCTAGTTCAGCTGAGAGAGTATTTTGCAGCACCAAATAATCCTGAGACAACGGTACTAACAAATGCAGCGACCTGCTCAGGCAGTTTTACTCTCGGGGGATGGAAAGGGGATGCAGCCTTTCCTTTGACGGCTGTTTGGAAGAGCAGCGTAGGAACCAGCACATCCTGGACTTGAGACGTTCCCTCTGTGCCTGAGGAAGCTGTGAAATTTCCCTTGCTGGAAGTTTTTAAAAACAGACTAGTTAAAAACTGACTCACACAGGAAGAGAATTGATATAATGAATTCCCCTTCATCTCTGTATTTCTGTAACTAGGACATGACTGCCTTATCATTTATACTTTTCAAGTGGATGAAAGCAAGCAATAACTACTCCTAGATATTCAACAACCTTAAGGGGCTGGGGGGGGGAAGCAATTACACGTCCATTCATGTTTTCCTTATTCAAAATATCTGCCACTCTTTCCATTTTACAAGGAACAGCACCACAATATAACCTATTCAAACATGCAAAGACGTCCAATAGTCACTTTTGAGGATATTAAAACAGAGTTGCAATATTCATTGTCTCTTGGTATTTCTAGTGGAACTAAGCCACAAACTGCACTTAAGGACAACTTCTATTTCAACAGGGACTTTGCTATTTATAACTCCCAACTTCTACTCAGTCACATCCATCTATGTCAAAATGGGTGCAGTCAGGAGCACATGTCAAGTTCAGGCTGTTGCTGGGGTCAGCAGTAATGCTAGGCAAAGTGCGCAAAGGGAAGGAAAATGAAAAATACAGGCTGTGGAAGGGGTACAGATGATTACATCCTCCACTTACCCCCACTAAGGTGAGTGATCAGTAAAGCAGTTGCAATGATCCCATCCATTTTTGCAAGAAGCTTTAAAGAACACACGTGAAAAAAATCCTTTTGCTCCTTTTTGGCAGCTAAAAAGGCAGCACACCTATCTAACCCAAAAGCACTATCTAGGCTGACCTCCCATAGGCAGAACATGATCTAGAGCATCTAGTAAAGCTGAAGTAGTAAGGCATATGTCCTTTGTAAGGGGATAAGTTTAACAACCTTAAACTCCAAATAAATCTGAAGTCTGTACATCACCACTGTTATGCTAAGTGATATTATTTATTTATCATTTTATGAAGACCAAGTTCACTCAAAAATTTAAGAGATCACCTGTACATTAATTATGAATGGTGTAGTATACTGATGAACTTGTGACAAGTTATTTTTAAAAGTACCGTTACCAGAGACCAGTTCTATCATGCATATCACAGCTGTATCATGCACTGTTGATTGCGAAAGAAATACTCTCAGACGAAAAGAAAAGGACAATTCTGGACTTCACTTAAACACAGACATCTTCCAAGACCAGTTGGAAGATAAACCAGTGTCTTTTTAAAAAAAAAAAAAGAGTAGTTTGTATCACATGATACTTGGCAACATGATAAAAAGGCTTAAAATGAACATATAAGGTCCAAAGAGCCATAAAGAAACCCACCAAAAAATATTGCTTAGAAGTTAGCTTCAACAAACTGGCAGAGGATCATGGAAAACTAAAAAAGAAAGAAATAGGAGCAGATATCATTTTATACTCACGTAGGGTATCCTCGAACACCAAATTCAGAGCACAGTGGAGTATCTGTAGTACAATCCACTTTAACAACATAGACCTGTGGGTTTTCCATGTTGTTGTATTTATCTCCCAAATCATTCCAAGTTGGCTGGAGACGCTGACAATGGCCACACCTGTAACAGAAGAAACAAGAGATTTGCTTAATAGTTGCTCAGGTTTAGAGGGGAATGAACCTATGGAAAAGTCAAACACAGAACGGTCAGAGATTTTAATAAGTATAAAAACAGTTAAGTCAAAAATCTTCCATACTCAAGCACTGTTACACTAAGCCACAATGAATACTATTAAGACACTGCAAACACATCTCACGTAAAAATCAAGAGAGAAGAACTGCTTGCTACTACCCTTTTATGTTACAAAGCCTCCTGAACACCCCCTGAACTTAGGGAGGCTATTAAGAAAAGCACTCTCAATCTTCCGTCTTTCTAGAAACATCCTGTAAGGCTGTCTAGCTTGCTTTCTGCTCTAACATTCTGAAATACTATTTATTTTAGCAGCAGGTAAAAAGATAATGGTTTCTAGCCTCTTTCTAAGGCCACCTGTGCTTTTGTATGTCAGAGGAATTGTAACTCACAAGTCATGAAACACATCAGGACTGATTTCTGAACAGGGTTTCTCAAAATCCTCCCACACTGTGCTTTGCCCCAGCAGCACACCATCAACTAATTATATCTGCATATACACAGAAAACTGACCTCACACAGTTGCTATAACAGCAACTCCTTGGAAGCAGAAAATAGCTATTATTCTTCTCACTGTTTTCCTAGACTTTCAAGTCATTATAGCAATATCCTATTCCTGTAACTATGATGAAAAAATTTAAGGAATGGATTTTCATTTCTCTTTAATGGCTACTTTTGCCAATCCTTCAAGACACCTAAAAATACATAATTGGATTAACAGAAAACATTCTCAAACTGACAGTATGAAATCTGTTACTGCCCTTGGCATGACCTAGACGGTCTACTTTGTAAGTAACAATTAAAACACCATTAGGACTTTGGAGAAAGTTGCTCCCATTTAAAACAGTTTCACTTAACAACTGGTTTTGAGTCCACTTACAGAAAAGCTGCATGGATTCACACCTTTCCATGTATCCTGCTATCATTAAAGCAAAAAAAATAACCTTGAGATTTACTTTAACATAAAGAACGTCTTCCAACCTTAATAAGGTCCTGTTCAGTCAGGAGCAGTGGGTCACACATACTCTCAGTATGTGGGGGAATATGACCTCCCCCCATATGATCTTCTTCTGAATTGTCATGGTGAAGGGATACAATGTGTTATTACCCAAATTAAATATTCCTTACATATTTAACTTCACACTGAAGTCCTTTCAGAGTCAGCTCCTTCATAACGCTTGAATTAAGAGAAAAATTTTGGATTCCCTGGTCCCTCCCCCTAGGAGTTGCAGGGATTTTACACACCAAATAAATACTGACTGGTGTTAAAGAACAGAGCGTGGAAAACCAGATAAGGCAATCACAAGTAATTAACCTGCTGTTCTTTAAGAGCAGAACAAAGCTGCCTTGTGCACATTTAACACCATGATCTCTGCTATACACCCCTTCCCTTCGTTCTTCACATTATGAGCTAAAATTGAAAATAAAGCAGGAAAAATGCTCATCTCTGAATCAATAATCAACTAGTTAATCATTCCCAGTCTTCAAAAAAATTCAGTGTTACATAGAAGGAACTGCAAAACAAAACAGCCCCCAAAACACTTTTTCTGAAATTCGTAAGGTGTAGCTGCAGAATATATTAAAACCAGAGAAGTCAAAAACAAAGACAGCAAGACTATAGAACATCACACGCCTCCCTCAGCCCCATGTACCTGCAGTCTTTCGTTGCTGCCACTCTGCATCACATCAGTGGGGCTGGAGGAGCAGCCAGTTCCACCACTGGGGACAGCGGAGACCTGGGCATCATGAGGAGTCCTGCTCTCCCCTCCTCCCTACACGGGCTAGGAAGGTGCAAGTGTTCATAATCTCTGTTTACAAATGTAAATGAAGATCCCAGAGTCTGACAAGGCTGTAAGAAAGACCCACCTTTCTGAAAAAAACCCAACCGAACAAAACCCTGCTTCTCGTACACCACTAACATCAGGAGACATGGGTGAAAGGATGTTATTTGTAAGAGGTTGCAGACAGGTTTCCCATTTTAACTCTGAGCAACCATGTGCCACAAGCGCCCATGCCTGGATGTGATTTTGCTGTGCCAGTTATGTACAGTATACCAGACTGCTCTACCTCACACCGACAGGTCAGTGTTCCTGCCACAGTATCAGCGCTTCTCATCTGCAAAACTGGATGGCAGACTTCCTAGGCCATGAGAAGAAGGGATGTAAAGGTACACGAGGACCATATATATCAAAACTACAGTTACTGATAAGCCCTCTGCAGTCATGGAGGAACTCAGACATTTCTGAAGGCTACAGTAGACCTTGAGCTCTGCAGCTAGCAAGGGCAGCTCCACAGCAAGATATAGCACAAATCATTATCCCATTTAAAAAGTTGGTAGACCCTGGGATAGACGGGTATAATGGTACAAACAGCACAGGACCAGTCTTGCTCTGGACAAAAGAATCCAGCTAAGGTAAAATCTACTCAACAGGGTTCAATTCAACAGCAACAAACTCTGGTAATCAAGTCTGCTTCAGCTCAGTGGACTTTCAGAGGTTTACCAAGAGACCACATATGTTGAAAAGATCCGCAATGTTCAAAATAATGCAATGAAAAAACTCATTCGAGATTCCTTACAACTAAGGAACCAGGGGAACCTCATTCCTCTGTAGACACGCAACTGGCATGGCCAACATCTTAAGAATATCTAGTGCCACTGAGAGTAACCTTCTCATGCTTCTGTCCCTTGCCAAGTGTAGCTACCAAGGGGGACACCCAGATGACTGAAAACCTTCGACACGTGATGGCAAATGACTTGGAATGATCTCTTTTTGGAGTAGCCTGCAATATTTGAAACAAATATAGGACCTCCTGTACTGCTGCTGTCTAGGAGTGAGGGCCTCAGCAACACATGCTTCAAGAATCTGGAAGTGAAGAGTTGCATCAGCTCTAACCCAACTCTTGCTGCTTAGCACTGACGACGCCACATTCCACCGTCCATAGCAATCCGAAAGGTGATCCTAGCTGTATGTTGGGTTGTTTGCTAGGCTTCTCCCTTGTAACTACAGGCAGCAGTGCCAAAACACGTGCCTCTGTGAGAAGCATTAGGACATCAACACAGAAACATCACCTAGGAGTAGGGCAAGAAGCTCTAAGACTCTGAGGGTGTCAGGTTGCCACTTGATCCCACTGACGATAAAACTACTGGTGTGTATAAGCACCTCCCTCAAGCACTTGGATGTTCTCTTTGTCCTTCTCTTCCCCCTTGGGCCCAAAACCTGGCCCTATTGCTGCATGGCAGCAGCCAGAAGTTGCAACAAGTCCGGGAAACGATGCAGATCCCTCACGCTCAAGTTGGGCAGAGGTCCTCAGCCTGCCCAAGGGCACAGCGTGGTCCAGGTCTGCAAGGCCAGCGCTCTCTGACGCACGCTGGGGATGCGCAGCATACACTGGGCTCTGCAACAGCCCATTTGGCACAGGGTCTCCTACAAACAGTGCGCCAAGAGAAAAGCACATCTGGTTTTAGGGATGCCTGTGAAGCAGTCGGCCAAAGCTTGGACAGACACAGATATTATCACCTGAAAACAAGAGAGGAGAAGCACTCCCTGCTCCAGAGGAGCAATTCTTAGGCCTTACAGCACCCTCAGGCAAAGGTCCTTCCCCAGCAAGCCAGGCCTCTTCCACTTCTGTGATCTTCAGAGAACAAAGGCAGGCATCTGCTCTTTCAAGCTTTTGCTTAACATTTTCATATGGCATAAACAAGTCGATGTTGGTAACAAAATGGGTAGCAGTTCCTTAGTTTTGAAAGGAAATCCTTTTCTGCTGTTGATTTCAAAGAGCGCCACGATTCACATATGCCTAAATGGCACCGTGTACCGACGGATACCTTAGGATCAAAACATAACTTCTGCACGTTGTTGCCTTATTTTACCTAAATTTAAGAAAACTTGGAGAAAAAAACAACAACAACAACAAAAAAAAAAAAAAAACCAAAAACAAAAAACAAAAACAAAACCACACAGAAAAAAAACAACCAACCAACCCTAACAACAAAACTCCCAAGAAACTCTACTGGATATTAATGTCAGGTAGAAAAGGGTAGGTAAAGAAACAAAAAAAAACAAAAAAAAACAAAAAAACAAAACAAAAAAAAAAAAAAAAAAACACAAAAAAAAAAGAGAAAAGGAGAATATGAACCACCACTATAAAGGCCCTGAGATGAGAAGTACTGTCCTCCTGCCAGCCGTAACATCCAGCACAGCCCTGTTCTCCCACTCTCCTCAACCATTCTTGTGTCAAAACGTACCGGTTGAGGACAAAACCGTGGTGGGGTTCTTGCAAATCTGAGAACTCCCCAGCCCCGCAGCCTCGGGGACACAGCACTGCCGCTAGCACAGCCTCCACTGCAAACCTATCTTTAAATTTCATGACGGGAAAGGGAAGGTTACGTTCTGCCATGAAAGCACTGGGGAGAGTGGGGAGCACGGGGTAAAGCCACGGCCACGCAACCGCCACGCACGGAGGCCACAGGCGGCTCCGGGTCCCCCCCGAGGAGCGACATGAAGCGGAGCCCGGGGAGGGCCCGGGGAGCCGCCGGGCTCCAGCCCAGCAGAACCGGGGCTGCCCCCCCCCCCCCCCCCCCCCCGCCTTGCCTCCCCGCTGCCCGGCGGCGCGACTTCCCCCCGCAGGCCCCACGCGTGGGGGGCAACCGCCGGGTGCCGATGCTCCCGCCCTCGGGGAAGGGGCCGGCTGAAAACCCCGGAGGCCCGGGCTCCCCGCTCCCCCGGCTGCCATTTAACGCGTGTGCGCGTGTCCCCGCTCCGCTCCCCGGGGGAAGGCGCCGGGGCCCCGACCCCGCGGCCTCCCGCCCGCCGCCACGTCAACGGGGGAAGAGGCGGGCGGCGGGGCCGCGTTCCGCCGCTCCGGGATACCCACCACGGGGCGAAGAACATGACGAAGTGAGGGGCGGCGGCGGCTCCGTGCCGCAGCATCTCCGCGCTGTAAACGTGCCGCCCGTGCGGGTCCGGGCCCGGCTCCGGCTCTTCAGCCCGCCCCGGCCGGCCGCAGAGGACGGGGCCGAGCACGGCCATGGAGAGCAGGCGCCACCAGGCCCGGCCGGAGCGGAGCGAAGCCATCGCAGCGCCGAGACAGCGAGAGGCCGGAGCCCCGGGCGGCTGCTGCCGCCTCCCGCCCCTCCCCGGGCCCGGCCCCCGCCCCCTCACCCCCGGGCCCTCCTCTCTGCACGGAAAACTTGTGGGGTATTTTAATTAAAATAACATTTTCTATACATATATGTAGTTTATTTTCTTTATATATAACGTGCAGTATCCAAATTTTACAACGACAACAACAACAACAAAACAACAACAACAACAAAACAACAACAACAACAACAACAACAACAACAACAACAACAACAACAACAATAATAATAATAATAATAATAATAATAATAATAATAATAATAATATGTATACATACTCATACCACGATGAAGCTTTTCTTAAAGTAAATCGATGAAAACAAGGCAGGCGCAGGGGGGCACCTTGTTAATATCGGTGCTGTGCCTCTGGGAGAAAGCCCTGCCACCCCCTGCCCGCCTCTGAGGGGCTCCGTGTTGGCACTCCTCGGGGGGGCTTGAGTCGCAGCACTGTAATTATAATTAGTAAATAATTATGACGGCAGATAGTACAAAAAGAGCGGGTACAAGGTAGCCGCAAGGTGATGGAAGGCGGGAGACGAGGTTGTGTGCTGGGAATCGTCGTTAAACCCTGAACGGCAATGAATGGGAATTGGAGCAAGTCCTTGAGTTTTGGGAGAGAAGAGGGTAAAAAGCGGTGTTTTAATAGGAAAGTGCGTTTTGACGAGAATGTCAGGCGAGTAGCTAACTTGTCAGGCATGCACACGCAGACGTGGGCACCCCGGGCTGGCCTTCGTTCCTCGCACGTCCAGTTCCACGGGGGTCTGTGCTGGGGAGCACTGGGGCTTAGCCCAGCAAGACGGGCTCGGCCTGGCACCGTTCCTCCCTCCGACATGCCCAGGGCGCTCAATGCAGCTGGGAAAGTAGAGTTCACTTCATGCTCTGTCTTGACCCACACCATCTCTTCTCCCAACTCTTCCCTCTGTCATTGCCTCCTCCGCGGGCCCAGCGCCGGGAAGGAGTGTGCTGCGCTGCCCCTGTACACTTGTTTCCAGTTTCCACTTAGAGCCAGTGCTGGACCTGGTTGCTCAACTCACCTCTGTGCTACAGCATCTTTGTGAGGGCCATCCCTACAGCCAACATGAATCACTTATTAGAAAAAAAATAAATGTAAAAATGAAAGTTAGAGATATCTTTTCTTTAAAAATTTTACTTTCAAAAGCTTCACTATGTATATGTGAAACAATTAAAAAAAGACTCAAACTACATTTATTGCTGAGCTAAAGACAAACCTAGACTGTCCGAAAAAGTAGCTGATCACCAGAATCAGAATTTAAGTACAAGTCAATAACCTTAAGTACAAAACAGTAGTGTTTTCTTTAAACGAGGCTTATTCCTGTGCTCTTCAAATTAAGAATAATCGTGAATGAAAAAAGGAGGAAAAAAAAAAATGCAGATTATTTCCTGCCTTCGGCATATGAAAAAATAGCAACAAACCCCCCTACAGAAAAAGACAGTGTCAGAGAGGGTGAGAATGACTAATTCTCAGACCTTGAAGGGCAATGTCCCGATACAACCAGGTGAGCTGTCTAACCACAGAAAGTACCTCCTCTTCTTAAGCAAGCTGGTTTCTTTTCCTTACAAGTGTATTTTTGGCCTGCTCTTTCTCTGTACATCTAGCACATTTAAAAATAGACATTTAAATTAAATTAATTATTCTCTTCCCTTAATTAAAGATAGATTAATTAAAAACTATTTTGAAATAATTTTTAATAAATGTGTGAATTTAAGGCTTCCATCTAAGATACAGACCACATAAAAATGACAGAAATACAGCAGCACTTTCAGTAGAAACACAAATATAATGGTTCAACAGATCCAAAATGAACAGTCACAGATTACAGTTAAGCTCTCATCAATTAGCAAGAAGTATTGCTAGGTCACAACTGCTGACAGGAATAAATCTTTCTCTGAGAACACCTCTTTCCTCTCCATAAAATGCTAAAAAGATTAATATTGCTTATGTAAATTAGTGTTTCTTACTTGCTGATTTGGATCTTGATTAAAATTCAATTACTCAGTCCACCACCCCAGTCCAGCTCCCTCTATCTTTGGAACTGATAAATTTTATTTTTTAGCTCTTGACCTCCTATTTCTGTTAACTGCATAGAAGAACAGTCTTCTGTTAACAGTCGTCCCTTAACAGGGAGAAGAACAGTCGAAGTAGCTTTGCAGGTAGCCTGGTGGCAACCTCTGTCTCTAATTTTATTTGGAAGAACAGCCACAAAGGCTTCGCACAACACAAGCCGTTCTCATGTCCCATCACGCAAGGTGAAGGCACACCAGGTAAGGGGTGATATGCAGAAGACTTCGGCCAGTCACCAGCGTCCTTATTCCCTCACTCCCGCTATCCTTTTCCACCTTGTAATCCTCTTCCCCTTCTTCTGCACCCGTGCTATCCCCCAGTGCAGTGTGCCAGCATCACCTGGCCTCCTGCTTCTCCAGCCACCCAGCCTCTGCCTCCCGTGCCCCAGATGTTTTCCCAAGGATAATCAGTCCCTGCTCGTCAGCAGCAGTTTCCTCCCAGCCACAAGCGACTGACTCCCAGGAGCTGAACTTCCCAGATGCCTGCCTCAGGGTAAGCCCGAGCAGGCAGGACCTGGGGAAATCGGTCCCACGGACAAGAAGTCGTCGGCAGCAACTGCTTGTGCTCACTCAGTCCCTCCTCACTGATCAGCGGTTCACAGCGGCTCATTATGGGTGATCTGGGGGGTAAAAGCATCAAATCCCATCAAGTTCCAGGTGGTAGCTGATTGGTTTGCAGCAACTGACCTAAACTAACCACCTAATCAGGAGAAAATGGCCAATGCGCAGCAATTAACCTGCATTGTTTATCAGCAAGAAGGGCTCATCTTTGGATGACCGCAGTCACTGCTGCTCAGGGCTCCCAGTGAATCCTACAGTCCCTGTACACATACACCATCTCCCAAAGTCCTCCATGCTCTCGACCTCAGTTCTGAAGGCACAATTAACGTCAAAATCTTTGCAGAGGAATAATCCTGATACCCCAAACCCAGCCCACTGCCTCTTAACTCCCCAGGCAATCAGCTCCTGCTGGCTAAGAGGCACCAGCTCCTTCCTTAGAGGATGCTTTGGCCTGCAGAGCTGAAACTGTACCAACAAGTTATTTATCCCCGTGTTGTGCCTGGCCGAAGAAAGTCCTTGGTGGGCAGTGTGTGCTCATGTTGCATAGGCCTGATGCAAATGTTTTGTAGGACCAGAGGAGCCCAGGACTGGAAAGGACCTCAGAGGTCACAGGGTTTAGTCCTTGTTCTGCCAGATATTAGCATTGTACAATCCTGTTTGTAAACTGCCTTAACTGTATTTTAAAACAAACAACACTTTTTTTTTTTTTTTTTTTTTTTTTTGCCTACACTACTCTGAAAGTTAGCTCCTTGCCTAGGATTAGGAACTTTTTTCATAGTCAGCCTATATTTATTTATACCTCATTCATACCAGGGTGTTCCCATGCCAGCACTGTCCTTTAGATGAAATACTCTTTTCCTCTCTCACAATATTTGGAGGTAGCAGTGACATCCTTTCTCGGCTTTTGTTCTGCTAGACTAAGCAAGCCAACAGCTCCCATTCATTCAGGAGTACCGTCCCACAAATCTGCGCAGACCAGGCTGGCAAATAAAAACAATCAATCACCCTCTCATCCGTTCACACACAGCTGAGCAGCAAATGTGTTTTAACGCCTGTACTTCTTAGTTGCCTTATCCTTGATGTTAAATGCATCCCTAAAATGGGATCAGTATCTTCTCTAAGAGTTTGACTATTTTGCAGATGTTTCCATTCATGTCACAGACAACTACTTCCCTTCTATGGCCCTGACGTGAAAAGATGATATTATGCACGCGTTCAGTTTGTTTGGGGTTTTTTAACTGATCTGCTTACTGGCAACCAAAGCAACCTACAGCAAGTGACTGCCCTGCTTGACAGAGTCCAGAAATAGGTGCTCAGCAAACCAAAGCTTGATCCACACACACCTCTGTGCCACGCTTTTTTTTTTCTTCTATACTACTCAAGTAATACATGACTATTTGCAGGTGAGGAAAATGATCCCTCAGGAGCAACTTTGCTCTATTTTCAATAAACATAGAACAGTTTGTGTTGGAAGGGAGCTTGAAGATCATGTAGTTTCAACCCCCCTGACATGGGCAGGGACCCCTTCCCCCAGCCCAGGTTGCTCCCAGCCCCGTCCAATCTGGCCCTGAACCCTTCCAGGGAGGGGGCAGCCACAGCTGCTCTGGGCACCCTGGGCCAGTGATTCACCCCCCGCATAGGGAAGAATTTCTTCCTTGTATCTAATTTAAATTTATCCTCTTTCAGTTTAAAACCATTACCCCTTGTCCTACCACTACACCCCCTGATCCAGAGTCCCTCCCCACCTTTCCTGTCCCCCCTTTAAGCCCTGGGAGGCCGCTCTAAGGTCTCCCCGGAGCCTTCTCTTCTCCAGGCTGAACCCCCCCAACTCTCTCAGCCTGGCCTCACAAGGGAGGTGCTCCAGCCCCCTGATCATCTTCGTGGCCTCCTCTGGACTCACTTGAGCAGGTCCGTGTCCTTCTGCTGTTGGGGGTCCCAGAGCTGGACCCAGGACTCCAGGTGGGGTGTCACAAGAGTGGAGCAGAGGGGGAGAATCCCCTCCCTTGCCCTGCTGCCCACACTGCTCTCGATGCAGCCCAGGACACGGCTGGCTTTCTGGGCTGTGAGCGCACATTGCTGGGTCATGGTCAGTTTTCTATCCACTATTACTCCCAAGTCCTCTGCAGAGCTGCTCTCAACCCACTCATCACCCAACCTGTGTTTGTGCTTGGGATTGCCTCGACCCACGTGCAGAGCTTGGGTCCTTCTTGGCTTCCTATTCCTCACTTAAATTTTCCCCCATTTCAAGGGCTTCACTAGAGTCAGTCTGGATTTCTTAAGAGCTTCCTGTTTCTGATCTGTATTTTACAACAGCAACTGAAGTTGTATCAACAGAGGATGCTGGTGTCTGGAAGCAGTGAGGGAAAACA